ACATATGTTTTTGTTTCTGTTTGTTTATTTTTATTAAACTTTTTACTTAAAAAAATGAAGTTAAAAATAAAAAAAATGTACTCGTAGATAATTTTGTAAATGCAGTTAAACAATAATTTCGGACAGATTTCATAAAAAAAACTCTCTGAAAGACAAGGATATTCGGATATATATATATAAGTTTGATTAGGTGAATCCTGTCTGTAGATAGTATTGTTTTTTTATATATAAGATTGATATTTTAATACATTTTTAACTAAATACGGTTTGGTATACAAAAAGTTTATCATCAGATAAAAGTACGGTACAATGTATACTGGTAATCATTCGATGTCTTAATTTTATAAACATGACCTATGAGTCCAATTAACTATTGGTATCTGTTTAGAATGGAGCTACATGTGATTTGACTAAAAGTAATTACCAATATATGTACCAGGCTATGATTCAAATCTAATACACCTGTTCAGATATACTAACGAGGTGTGTTCAGGAACCCGTGACGAGAAGCCATTTTGTACATGAGGGAACCAATTGTTGAAGAACGCATATGACCTCTGACCTGTAAGGATACATTTCATTATTTATTTCAATTACAAAACAACGAACCCTCTTTGGTACCGTGTAAGACGCCATTACGTTATGGACTAAATACAGCCGAAATGCCTCTGGGCCTTGTTACTTTGTAAGTATATACTTGGTTGAAATATTTAAAGATAGATGTACTGTTACATTACATCACAAGGTTAATGTTTAAATTCAGTATTTCCAATTTTCTGTAAACAAATTTACATTTAAATCCCAGGAACATCAAAGGTTTTTTTTTTTTGTGTGTGTATACCTGAATTGTTCATCATTTTTAATTGAGTACTCATGAGACGTTGTGAGGGTAAATTTCTTAACATACACGACCTTTTCTGAATACAATTTGTGTTGAAAACCCATTATTTGTTACGTGTAATTTCCAGTTAAGTTTCTTTTATATTTTTAAACAACTCTTGCGACATTTGTGTTCAATTTATATTTATTTGTAAGCGATATAAAATTTTCGAAACGAACACTTTGGGGGAGTTTATCATGTCAGTACGCCATTCATATATACTACAGATTATACCAATTTCCATCTTATCTACTTTTTTTCTAACCAAGTTTTAGTAATACTACCTAATTTGTGACTCAACAACTGAACCTGTTTTTCTAAATCTATCAGCGACATCTGGTGGTAGGGAAGTGATTTACAGCGGTATCTGATAAAGAAGAGATTTATTTGATAGTCAAGAGGATCTTGTGGTGGAGTTGTATCTTGTGACAGTCGGTAGAATCTGCCGGTTAGGGAGTGTCTTGTGACAGATCGCGACATCTAGTGATAGGGGCAGAGTTGTGTGTCGGAAGAGTGACATCTAATAGTGAGAGAAGAGCTGTGAGAAAAAGAACGGCATTTGGTGGCTGGAAGATGTGTTGTGAGACAGTAGAGCGACATCTGGTGTTGAGAAGTGTTGTGAGACAGAAAAACGGCATTTGGTGGCTGGAAGATGTGTTGTGAGACAGTAGAGCGACATCTGGTGTTGAGAAGTGTTGTGAGACAGAAGAACGGCATTTGGTGGCTGGAAGATGTGTTGTGAGAAAAAGAACGGCATTTGATGGCTGGAGAAGTGTTGTGAGACAGTAGAGCGACATCTGGTGTTGACGAGGAAGTGTTGGGTGACAGAAGAGAGAAATGTAGTGACGATGTAGTGTTGTGTGACAGAAGAGCGACACCTAGTGACGAGGTAGTGTTGTTTGACAACAGAGCGAGATGTAGTAGTTGGTAGCGTTGTGTGACAGAAGAACGACATGTAGTGACGAGGAAGTGTTGTGTGACAGAAGAGAGAAATGTAGTGACGATGTAGTGTTGTGTGACAGAAGAGCGACATGTGTTGTGTGACAGAAGAACGACATGTAGTAGCGGGGTAGTGTTGTATGACAACAGAGAGACATGTTGTAGCGGGGTAGTGTTGTGTGACAACAGAGCAACATGTTGTAGCGGGGTAGTGTTGAGTGACAACAGAGCAACATGTAGTAGCGAGGTAGTGTTGTGTGACAGAAGAGCGACATCTATTGACGAGGAAGTGTTGTGTGACAACAGACCTACATGTAGCGGGTAAGTGTTGTGTGACAGAAGAACGACATGTAGTAGTGGGGTAGTGTTGTATGACAACAGAGAGACATGTTGTAGCGGGGTAGTGTTGTGTGACAACAGAGCAACATGTTGTAGCGGGGTAGTGTTGTGTGACAACAGAGCGACATGTAGTAGCGAGGTAGTGTTGTGTGACAGAAGAGCGACATCTATTGACAAGGAAGTGTTGTGTGACAACAGACCTACATGTAGCGGGTAAGTGTTGTGTGACAGAAGAACGACATCTAGTGACGAGGTAGTGTAGTGTGACAACAAAGCGACATGTAGTAGCGGGGTAGTGTTGTGTGACAGAAGAACGACATGTAGTGATGAGGAAGTGTTGTGTGACAACAGACCTACATGTAGCGGGTAAGTGTTGTGTGACAGAAAAACGACATGCAGTGACGAGGTAGTGTTGTGTGACAACAGACCGACATGTAGCGGGTAAGTGTTGTGTGACAGAAGACCGACATGTAGTAGCGGGGTAGTGTTGTGTGACAGATGAACGACATCTAGTGACGACGTAGCGTTGTGACATCTGCATGTAGTGTTGGGGTAGCAATCGACATTTGATGGAGGGGAAGTTCCCTTTAACAGGCAGAGACAATTGGTATTGCAGAGATGTCGTGTGACAGACAATTTTGTGTAGAAATAGTCTCAGATGGCAGTCAGCAACATCTACTGGTTGTGTCGTAGTAAAAGAGTGAGGGAGTATGAATGTGACATCCTGTGATGGAGTTTTGTCATGAAACTGTCATTGTCATGAATATGTCATATATATGTAGTAGAGGTCATTTTTATTTCAATGCCTCCGTTAGGAGTCGAACCCGGGACCTGTGTCTTACTAGTCTGTCGCTCAAACAATCGATCTAAAGAGAAGTTCTCTTTAACCAAGAGGTATATTGCGGCTAGTATTTACCAGAGTTACATATAGTAAAAGAACTGAGGTGACGAGAAGGTCATGTGACAGTTACCGACATATGTTGATGGAATAATCACGTGATATTGACATAACTCTGTAACTGAGGAAGTGTCAAGTGACAACGATGTCTTCTAGTGAGATTGTGAAGGAGTATAGTGACAGACAGCGACACCTTGTGTCATGGAAATATCGTGTGATATACATTGATATTTTGTGGATGGGTTACACGTAGTGTCATGTGATATAAGCGACATCTGGTGGAGTGGTAGTGTCGTGTAGGTAACAATGACATCTGGTGTGATAGATAATTTCGTGGGGTAGACAGCGACACCTGGTGTTGGTTGACAATCAGTTACACCTGGTGATTGGCTAGTTTGCTGTGGCAGGCATAGACATCCGGTCGATGGGAAGCGCCGTGTGAAGCATGTGTTGGCGGGAAAGTTTGATCAACGACCGGGGTGTTTACAGTAATATAATAACATTTTCAGTAAAAGATCACATAGGAAAATCTTGTGGCAACTTAATAAAAAGAATGTGATTCTCACGCAGCGGTGTACACTGTAATTAATTAAGTCTGATTTGTTGGGACGAGCTGGATTTAAACAATAAGTGACATCACTTCCGTAACACCCCCATCGCCATGTTGGTATATCAAGTGATCTGTATATTAGCCCTTATCCTGATAATATATAACTAGATATTAGGATAACTTTATAAACAATAAATCGATTACGGATAACGTAAATCGGTGACTATCATTTGTCCATCAACATATAGAGTTACGACTAATGACACATCTACAAGTTGCGATATTTATCGCGTGGGCTCGTATCACGCGCGAGTGCGTTGGATTGTATACATTGTTACTTGTGGGTTTGTCATTTGTTACTCGTGTCTCTACCCTCTTAATTAATCATTCTATTGATGCTGATATCAAATAATGATTTTTTTATATATCACATAGTCAGTACATTTTTTTATTTATTTCAAATAGAGGTCACATTCATTTATTCGAAAAGTGACTCTGTCACAGATACAGATATGAAAATTGAAAACAAAATATTTCATAAAGAAAATAACACCTTTTGTACGGAAAACATCTAAATGTGGAAATGTTCTTGATTAAGAAACTTTATCCATTTCGGATAGCACGCGATGGGCATCCCGTATGTTGTTCTGTGAAGTAGCGACCAGGTCGTACAAGGAGGCATCACCTCAAAATAACTGTTTAAAGGAGGAGAAAACCCACCAAATCAACAAACTAACCCTAAACATGACTCATAAACCGAATTCAATTCAAAATATCAAGGAAGAATATCACCGGAAATAAATCTGGACTTCCATAAGCTATATGTGAGATATACGTACATATCACCAAAGAATGAAATCCGTAATATCATAACATGAACTTAATTCACCAATTTGTTATACCGTAAAATTTAATGTTCAATATAAAGTGTTTTATATGTTTAATTTATTTGATGTATATTGTATAAACATATGCCTAGATATATCAATGACACATTGAATGACTTCACATAATTTGTCTCTGAGCCGAAAAATAGTTTCTTTTCGAACATTGCATGTCTTATAGAGAGACGAGCTAGACTTTACCTTGTTATTGATGAATAGAATCTTATACTTTTGTAAATGTCGTATGGAAGTAATCAAAGTCACCCAATTACAAATGTATCTGATAAAGCACTCGGCTAAAGACGAGCCAAATACGATAATTGAACATTTTTTGCATTAACTCAATATGACATCGCAATTCCTGAATCTGTTGTTCATATCATGAAAAATCTCATAAAATAAATAAAAGTCCATTTTGCTTCGTGAATAAATGTCAACTTGACGTGTCAGAAGTCAGAATCAAACAGCGAGTACCTTAAAATTCAATTTGTCTCTATTTTGTTATTACAGTCTGGATGGCATCCTCGGGCCTCTTATCTACGCCCCTGGGTCTCAGATCGCTTGGGATGATAATTACATCGACCGTATCAGTCGTTACTACACTATAATGTTTTTACTTTTCTTCAATATATATGTGGTCACCGAAGAATATGTCGGAAAACCCATCTATTGCTGGTGTCCCCCGGAGTTCACCGACAACGAGGTCAAATACACTAACGACCTCTGCTGGGTGTCTAATACCTATTACATCCCTTTCGAAATCCAAGTTCCTGCACACCTTCAGGCGAGGAAGGAGGAGTCGGCAGAAATCACGTACTATCAATGGGTCCCGTTAGTTTTGTTTTTGCAAGCTTTGCTGTTTTATCTTCCAAGACTTGTGTGGAAATTGTATGCGACCCGAGCTGGAATCGAAGTGAAGAAAATGTGCATTTTAGCTAAATTTAGTATCGATGTGTTTCCGGAAGACCGTGAACAACGGCTCCGCCATATCGCTGCATATCTGGATGCTTACGCTGTCAAGACGAAACCATTTCGAGGCGGATTATGTTCACCAGTACGAGAAAAATTCGCCAGGCACCTTCGTTTTGGATGCGGAAGGCATTATGGGAATTTCTTCATAACACTTAACATTCTTGTCCGTTTTCTCTATTTCGCTAATGCCTTTGGACAACTGTTCCTAATGAATGAGTTTCTTGGAAATAAGTTTTATGTATTTGGGATAGAAGTTGTCCAGGCTTTCCTTGCTGGACTTGACTGGACTATGTCTCCGAGATTTCCGAGAATGACGTTATGTGATATAGATCGCAGACAACTACAAAACGTCAATAGATATACACTGCAGTGTGTGATTCCTATCAACATATACAACGAAAAGATTTTTCTGTTCTTGTGGTTTTGGTTTTTGATAATTTCTGTTCTTAGTTTTGTGAATTTGTGTGGAACAATAGCAATAGCAGCATTGCCTCATTACAAAGAGACCTTTATCACGAAATACCTAAAAATGGCGAAACTCTATGACGTAAAACTGAAAAGTTCACAAAGAAAAATTTGTAGAAGATTCCTTAAAAGGTATCTGACACAGGACACAGTATTTGTGATAAAAAGGATTTCTGATAATGCCAACACAGCTGTGACTACCGATGTTGTAATGTATCTATTTTACAGGTTTTTAAACCGAGAGCGAAAAAGAATTGGAAATGACAATATACTTAAATTATTTCCGCCGGAACCGGAAGAAAAATTTGCAGATGGTGGCGGCGGAGCTCAGAAAATGGGCGGTGGGGGTGGTGGTGGCGGTGGTGGGAAACGAAAAAAGAGAAAATGAAGATTTAAAATTCTATCGGGAATTAGGGTGCAATATCGCTTCAACCATAGCTGTATGGTGTCAATTACATTTGTTCTTTGTAAGAAACAATTGTCATATTTTTCTTAATATATTCCTAATAAAATTGGGAATTTCAAATATGAGTCAATACATGAGTTATCACTCCAATCATTGCGATTTTATCAGTAGACAATATGTTAGGTATGACGAGGCTACTGACATTATAATCACAGTAATATTCACTCATCCTTTATTGGGGAAGCAGTGATGGTGTGGAGGTAGTTTTGTCGTGTATGTAACTTTGGAATCCAAAGCTTTCGCCCTCGATTCTTGTGTTTAGACTGGATCAAGATTGAAAATGGTTCTTAAGTCGCTCACATTCTTGTTGTTCTTATTGTGTTCTGTTATCTGAAACAAAATATTCCAAAACACTACAATATACATACATATTTTCTATTGAGTGTTTTATACAAGCTATTATAGTTACATAAGTCATAAGGTTTGTCTAGAAAATATTATCGATACATATTTACGAAAATATCAATGGTATTGTAAATTCATACAAATTGACCTTTCGGGTCTTGTAAACTGTAGGTCTTCAGGTACGGACCCGACACGAAGACATCACGATAGGTGTTCTGAGTCATAAGTATAGTTAGCTTTGAATGGCGTTGCAAAACAAATATTTCTCCGCAGTTCCGAATGAAACTATTTGAAAAATTGGATCATAGATTTGAATGCAGAATGTATTAAGCTATATTCTGAAGAGTTAACGTGATATCAACTAAAGAGAGAATAATAGAAATAGTTTTTTTTCAAAATTTGTTACATGGAAAACAAAGACTCCAATGTCGCCCGAATTAACAAACCAAAGTAGTAAAATAATTATCAATTAACAAATTAAGAATCAAATTAATGAATAAATAACAGATCAGAAAAAAGATAATTAAACATAAAATACAACAAGTATAAAACAACAACAATAACAACATTATTCTAAAAATGTGTCTTGATTTAACGATAAGTTAACCAATCATGTGATAATTCCATTCTGTAAGAAATTTCCAGTGTATTACTAACACGACAAAGTCATCTGATTATGTATAAAACAATTGCATTAATAGATCTGACAATGTCTTGTGCCATATGATCTAGATTTTTATCTAAGCTCTTATCAGAGTACTAATAGCATGCCCACGAACCGTAACCACCAGGTGGTGTAGGGGGTGGGGCTGTCTAGTCCATTTAAACAGTCCCATCTACATAGCAATCTAAGGAATAGATACCATTAGACTAGAGTCTCGATAGCATAGAGCAACTACATGGCCTGCATATATAAAGTGTAGTTTTCAAAAGTGTGCCTCTCTCTCTCTCTCTCTCTCTCTCTCTCTCTCTCTCTCTCTCTCTCTCTCTCTCTCTCTCTCTCTCTCTCTCTCTCTCTCTCTCTCTCTCTCTCTCTCTCTCTCTCTCTCTCTCTCTCTCTCTCTCTCTCTCTATTATTTCTCTCAACTTGTATATGAAATATGAGAAATGACTAGAAATAGTAATTATGATATTCAACTGTAAAATAAAAGTTGGTCTCTTGTCAGTTCTTTTTTTATGATTGCCAAAAAACCAAATGGGCTAAACAAGGGACAAAGGGAAAACTACACCGAAAAATGTATAAAAGTTGAGAAAGATCCATCCAGTACTTCTTCCGGTCAGACTGAAAATTGAACTAGCACAAGTATGGAGAAATAGTAACTGACATACGGAATTTTAGAGAGATTCGTTCTGTACCTCTCACGAAAAAGCATTAACAAAACCATTTATTGTCAAAATCACGATGGCCATCTGTCGGCCATTTCGATTTTTCTATCAGACTCCAAATTGAATGGGCACGGCTAGTGACCAAGGGAACCCAGTTCATGAAATTAGAGACATGTCAATTTACTGTTTCTCAGGAAATATGATAACAACTTTTCGTTGACAGTATTGAAAATGGTCTCGTTTTAGTCATTTCCAAAATTGAAAAAAAAGTAAATAAGATTTTGAAAAATCAATCCGGACAGAAAATATGACTGTCAAAACCCAAGCTAGCCGCCTCTCGACCTTGTTGGTTTTTTTCGATAGTCTCAAAATGGACTATGCACAACTTTTTTTTAAAGTACTTTTTCCTGTTTAGCGCTAGCGGACTAAAACTTTCATCAGTTCATAAATTGTCTTTTCGAATCAGTCAGAATAGGAACAAAATCAACATACTCAGCTTGTAAAATGGTTTATTTAAACAAGTATTAATATATCTAAACGTAATACTTAAGTAAACTCAGAGAGTAATTCCTAATTACAGCACATGCTAAAATACACCTGTTTTCCGTCACTGCCGAATAAAGCCAAATATGTGTAGCGGTTGTATTCCTACAATGGCAGTGTCAGTTGCAGGGTAAAGTTAATGAAGATGAAGATGAATGAAGATTCCTAATTGAATTACGGTTTGGCATGCAACTGACCTTAAACTGGTTTGTTTTTAAAGAAAATTATCACTCGGAACTACAGATTCCAAACATGGTTTAAGAAATTATAGGGCAGTTTTATGGTACATGCGATACCACATATAAATGACCATGAATGAATTAAGTGAAACGGAAATAGGATTTGATGTCTTTCAGACGAATGCATCCGACTATTTTTTAAAATTCCTTATTTCAAGGTTAGGAATCTAACTTCGCGGTGGTATTTTGGGCTGAACGTCTCGAAAAATATCGCTACAAAGAATGATTTTGAATATTCATGTATTTATTGAGTAAATGCAGTGTGTAATTTTACTAATTCTAGTAATAGCAATTGAGCATGCGTAATCACATACGTGTACGTCGTAAGGTTGGTGGTTACTTTTTCGACAACTGATGTTCTCGGGAGTTTCCGAAGACGAGTGTAACCATTTGGTGTAGAGTTTGCCAGGAATACCTGAGAGGTTTTCTGATTAAAGTCAACACGATATCCATTACTCACGAGGATATACAACATATATGCTGACTGGTACAAATTATACAACATGAACATATTAAGTCTTTTCGCTAAAATACACCATTGTTTGATCTTCTGCATTCTAAAAAAGTGTGATCACACCTCTCTCTCTCTCTCTCTCTCTCTCTCTCTCTCTCTCTCTCTCTCTCTCCCTCCCTCTCCCTCCCTCCCTCCCTCTGCCTCTCCCTCCCTCCCTCTCTCTCTCTCTCTCTCTCTCTCTCTCTCTCTCTCTCTCTCTCTCTCTCTCTCTCTCTCTCTCTCTCTCTCTCTCTCTCTCTCTCTCTCTCTCTCTCTCTATATATATATATTGTCTTTAAATCGTAAAATTGAAATATGTTGGTTGGTTTGTTTTGTTATTTTTTTGTAATTTATATCAATCGATCGATAACATGCTCAGTTATAATTATTATGGAGCGTTGATGTGGATCGCACCAAGTCCATTCTCTAACTCTGGACTTCTAAAATGAATTTTTTAAGTTCTGAAAATAATGCGATACTGTTTAATATGTGTGTTTGCTCTGATGATTTTTTTTAGA